GCAAAGTTAAAAAATAATAAAAATCCATAGTTGTGGTAAATGAAAAGAAACATTCACCAAACTATACATAAATCATGAACTACTACTGCTAAATAGCATTAACAGTAGCCATCAATACTATTGAGTTTTTAATATACAATAAAATTATATAGTAAGCATACACATTCAACTGATGACTTGCCTTATTCGATTCTTAATATTAAATTCAGTAAATTTTGTGACTTTTTGATATTTTTAAAATAATTTTTATTGTATGTACAATTTTTACCTTAGAAAAAAATGAATATGGGCAAAACCAGGGTTGTTAACAATACTAAAAAAAAATTATTGGCAATACCAATACCAATACTGCCTGTAAAATCTATTGGCAATACCAATACCAATACAATTGTAAAACCAGTATTGCAATACCAATACCAATATTTATTTATTATTGCCTTACCAACACCAATATTTGGGTCATTTGACGAATAAAACGCAAATACGTAATTCATCGCTCTATATCACTTACATCGATAAACGATAACAACATTTTTGGCTAATTTAGACAATGTATTTTTAACCAAATTTTGTTCAATAGTTAACACTTGCTTCATCAGTTTTCCTCAAATCATTCAAAAGTCTTTGACAACATATTAAATAAGTCGGCATACCTTAACGTCCTTAAGCAACAAGATTTTTAATATGTATACTGTACACATATTGTGAATGGATGAATGGATGAATGAAAAAAATATTTTTTCTTTGTTTGGCCTTATTTTTGTTTGTAGGCCCTAGGCAAGGTGCCTAAAGTGCCTAAGCCTTAATCGAGCCTTGGTAAGTCACTGGTCAATGCTCATTGCCAAAGATATCATATATGATTTGATTTCTATTATCATTCATTTCATTGATCAGTCTCATTCAAAAATTGTTTGGCAATGTCACTCGCAAGATGGCGACACCAAAGAAAAATTTATTATATTCAGCTTTATTCACAACCAATGTTTTAGAGAATTTATTGAATATTGCTTTTAGTATTGGTTAAAAATCAATACCAATATCAAAAATAATTATTGGCAATACCAATATCAAATTTCAAGAAGTATTGCAATATCGTCCTAATACTTAAAAAAGTATTGGCAATACTACCAAAACCAATACAATATTGCAATATTAACAACCCAGGGCAAAACTAATTTTGCCACACTCTAGAGGTCCATCCGCCACACGTTTCAGTTGGCGACAGGGTTTCTCACACCGGTATTAATGTATGAGTTTTTTGTTTGTTGTTGTTGTTGGTTTTTTTGTTGTTGTTTTTTTAAACCAGTATCTCAGTATTCATGATGAATTGCTTGCAGTGTTGGCACTTTGCAATAAATAATTGGGTTTTGGGTTCCAATTAGGTAACTCAGTCTCTAAAAGGTTCACAGTCACTGGCCTACAACCCAAGCACATTAAATTTCGAAACTTTACACACCCACTGCCCACTTTTTCCATTATTTAAAAGGATCCTCTTTCAATGAATGTATCACCATACCCCTAAATTTAAAAACTGCTTTAAATACAAAATTTTTAAAACCACACATACTTTTGATGGGAATGCCTACATACGGTAACTCACAAAATGCATTATGGGTCAATAAAGCCTATAATAATTTTCACAACATAGCAAATTAAAATAAGGAATTATTCATTCTTCTTCATTTAAAAAAATATACTTGAAATGCTTGAGCTGAAAGAAAAACTCTGCGTGTATGAACGACTTGTGGGTAACATTTAGGCTTCGTGGTTGCGTAACTTTTCCCTAAATCGTGCGTCCCTATTAGCAGAGAGAAATAGAGAGTGAGAGAGAGAGAGAGAGAGAGAGAGACAACCAGGGTTTCTTTCAGCTATATCTCGGGGGGGGGTGTACTCCGGGGGGGGGGTCCCCCCCCCCCCCCCCATGAAAGCCAAGTGCCCCCCCCCCCGAGCAAAAATATGTCCAACTATAACTCAACTGGCACTGCCCCACCCCCACCCCGAAAATTCTGAAGTCCCCCCTCGGGGGAAAATTTCTGAAATAATCACTACATTGTAATCTCACTTTTAGTCTTAAAAGTGACACAAATTAAATAGTATAAATAAAGTAAAGATTATAATGATAATTTTATTTTATTTACCATTTCATTTTTATTCGTGTGTTGTTGTTTTTTTTTTTGCAGTATTACATTGTACTTAAATATTTCTTCATTAGCAACGTATTTGTTTATTATTTACAGATGTCCATTACTAAATATCCTGAGCCTGATTACAGACCCTACGTTTACAATTAAATAAATAAAGTAAAGATTATAATGATAATTTTATTTTATTTACCATTTCATTTTTATTCGTGTGTTGTTGTTTTTTTTTTTTTGCAGTATTACATTGTACTTAAATATTTCTTCATTAGCAACGTATTTGTTTATTATTTACAGATGTCCATTACTAAATATCCTGAGCCTGATTACAGACCCTACGTTTACAATTAAAAATAGATACTATGATACAGTGAAAGAAGAATGGGTCAAAGCTTATATTAAGTGACTAAAAGTATTTAAGAAACAGAAACGGTAGCCATGAGAGTAATTTTATTTTCAACCACATTATTTAGTGATCATTGATGATTGCTACTCTATGAATGCACCTAATGACCTTTGATCACTTTGGGTAATACATAAAGGTTAGCGCATGCGCAGAGGTCCAATGTGTAAAAATACTTGCAATTTTTGTTTTTCAATAAAATTTTGAAAAGGGCAACCATGTTACTAGATATTTGCAAATATCAATGTGAAAGTAAGAATTATTAGAATCTTGGGAAATTTATTATTTCGAACAATCAAGCAAAATCTCAATTAAATAGGTATTATCATTTATTATGTATGATGATTTTAATGTAATGAAGTCAAAATTAAAAGTACTGACACTGGCACTGGTGATTCAATAAAGCAAATACAATTGGTATTGGCAATCATTGATTAATTATTTGTTATTAGAATAATTTAAAATATTATTAATAAATTTGATTAATTTTCATAAATCGAAAAGCTACTTTGTAAATATTTTGCTACTGTCACTTTTATTTCATTGAATGCTAAACCTTTAAATAATAATAATATTTTTTTTTAAAGATGGTCACATCTGCTGTATTAAATAATATGTTATCGCCCCCCCCCCCCCAAACCTTGTAAATATTTTGCTACTGTCACTTTTATTTCATTGAATGCTAAACCTTTAAATAATAATAATATTTTTTTTTAAAGATGGTCACATCTGCTGTATTAAATAATATGTTATCGCCCCCCCCCCCCAAACCTTACACCACCATCCCCTTTTGATAATAAAATTTGAACAGAATTTTTATGAGTCCAACTAACAAAAAGAACAATCAGTGATACGAATTTCCTTATAGTATTTTAGAGTACGTTCAATGATATTTGATTGTGTGAATGTGTTTGGTACTTAGCCTCTTAGAAGGCTCAAATAGTACACATTAAGATAAAACTATTTGCTTAATTATCTTTTTCCAAATAGTTGTTCCTTCTAACAAAAAGATATGCTTATTTTGAATTTTGTAAGCGTTTATTTTTAAATGTTTAACATGATTATTAAAATAACCCAGTTGTAAAAACTAATCCTTTAAAAAGTACGTTTACATTTTGAAGTAAATAAATAAAGGAACAATATATGTGTGGACTTGACAAAAAAAAAATGACAGGACTAATGATGCAAGGACGTTTCGGCTAAGCACCCTCTTCAGCAGTCAAGATAAATGTAGAAACTCGAAATGAGAGTAGAGTTATTCAAAAACAAAACTTACGTCACTCAATTCTGTACTGCGTACTATCAAGGTGAAAGTGTAAAAAAATTTAAGTATTATTAATTTGAAGTTTAATATTTAAGCGAAAAAAATAAAATGAAAAGGTAGAGAAATTGAGGACCATAAGTAAGAGGTCGTTCGCAAATTACATCATGCCAAAAATGACCTTTTCAGACCCCCCCCCCTTGTCACAAAGTGTCACAAATTCTTTACCCCCACCCCCATAGTGTCACGTCACACCTAAAAAAAATCAAAAGATACATACAATTTTCATTACATTAATTTGAAGTTTAATATTTAAGCGAAAAAAATAAAATGAAAAGGGAGAGAAATTGAGGACCATAAGTAAGAGGTCGTTCGCAAATTACATCATGCCAAAAATGACCTTTTCAGACCCCCCCCCCCTTGTCACAAAGTGTCACAAATTCTTTACCCCCACCCCCATAGTGTCACGTCACACCTAAAAAAAATCAAAAGATACATACAATTTTCATTACTAAAATAAGATTTTATTTTATTCTTTAAAATTTCCTCAAAATGGATTAAGATTTAGTATTATTAGAAAACTGTGACTTAAACGCAAAATAACAAAGTCCTCCCCAAGCCCAAGCCTAATGGAAAATGACCACAACATTTCTGGCGTCATTTTTCGATAAGTGCAGAAGGCGTAAGTAACTGTGTTTCAGGATAGGCCTACTTATAATACCTGATGCAATTTCGACCTCAAATAAATATTTTAAAATTAATTTAATAAAGATTTTTCAAAATTAGAAAATGTTTTTTTTTTTTTTTAAAGTGTGACGTCACAAATTTTTGACTCCCCGGTCACAAAGTGTCAAAAATTCTTGACCCCCACTCCCCACTGTGCGTGACGTAATTTGCGAACGACTCCTAAGAGTATTTGATTGATTTCATGAGGTTATATGATATCACCAAAAATATAGATTTTGAGCCTTTTAAAAATAAAACACATATTAATATTATTATTGAACAAGAATTATCCAATATATGTTATTTAAAATGCAATGTTATTGTATTTGAAAATTTCACGTTTAACTTAATCGAATATAATTTGTGATGAAGATATTATTTCGCTTTAAAAATGTATATTTATGGGAAAAAAACTCAATTATTTGATCTGTTTATTTTTAATATGGAAAAAATCTCTATCTTGGTAACATCCAAAACGTTGCAAAGCTCGGTAAGAGGAGAAAACTTAAGTTCGTCTCATGAAACATTTTGAGCAATAATGACTATGACACTAGCAATAACTTCATAAATAAGTAACTTAGTTTACCTTAATTACTTTTTGAATTCGCTACTAAAATAATGGCTTGTTCAAACTATTTCAAGGAGAAATGTATACTAGATGAAGAAAGAAAAGCTCTCACAAGTATGCTTAATCTATTTCAAGATCAGCTGAATAGACTGAAGGTGAGATTTCAGAGTGCGACCAAGTCCAACCAATTGATAATACTCAATACTAATGACTAATACTATATCATTATTTTAAAAATATATTTTATTTCATCATGGTTAAAGCAAAGAGAATGCGCCGCAGGGCTAAGTTTTATTTTTATTTGAAAAATTTTGAACACCCTGCCATGGTACACAATCGTTAAAGACGTACTTGGTACTAATAGATCTCCAATTCCTTTCTTTAACCTTTTTCTTTTGTGTTTTTCCCCCTATATACTACTATATAGCCTATAACTAAATGCCAGATTATTTCACTTATAATTATAAGTTGGGTAATTTTCAAGGCAGTGTCTACAGTCTACACGTCCGGCGGGCCGGACGTATATCTCCCGCAGTATTTGTCCGGTGACCAAGTCACATGACCGTCGGAAGAATACTTTATCGAGATATTCGTCCGCGACCATGTCACATGACCCCGTAACAAAGTGGCGAGAGATATTTTGTCCATCAGCCTTGTCACTTTACCACGAATGATTCAAAACTGTTGTTAATTTTAAAATCTAATTCACTACCAAGTAATGTACTAAGTATCTTGCATGCAAATAATAGAAAAAAAACTTAACTGAAAGTGGCTTGTAAACATTTTTGTTTAGTTTGTTATTTGAGTTTGTGTACCAGCAATCCATAAAATAAATTAGGGGCCAGTATTCAGTATGGAATATTTCATTTTTAATTGTTTAAATTGCTACAAAATATTTTAAAACTTCTCATAAAACTACTGTTGCTGATGAACATGATAATATAGGTTAAATATAATTTCAAATATTTTTAATTAAAATGGTGAAAAAAAGGTTCCCAGACGGGGAATTGATCCACAAATATAATATCATCAAGCGGCCACTCTACCACAAGACCACACACAATCCTCTCAAAAGGCTCTTTCTTCGGAATAATAATGCCTACTACTCATCCGGCAGTCATGTGACATGCTCGCGGACGTATATCTCCCACACTATTTGTCCGGCGCGCCGGACATGTAGACACTTTGAATTTGGCAACTGAAGGCATGTACTATGTACAAAAACAAAACGAGAAATTAAATTTATGTTAAATTATAGGAAACTGTTTGTTGATGTATAATGTAAATAAAAACAACAGTTTTTATATCAGAAATATATAATATCATTGGAGTTGGACGTGTTTCATATTCACCAATATGTAAATATCGATTATGAGGAATGGCATAGCTAGTGGCCTTGGGGTGTGGACCGCACCAGGTGACACCATCTCAGGGGTGTGACACCATATTGAAAAATTGCATATTGCATATTTACACTGCTTGGTCTAGCCAAATTTAATGATAGGATAACTGATCACACATAGATTTTCCACATGTAACCAGGAAGGACAATTTTTTATAAAGTAAATTTAATGTAAGGGAATTTCATATTAGACGAGGCCTAAGACAAGGAGACTCACTGCCTTGTATGCTCTTTAACCTAACATTAGAGAGAGTCATTAGAAATATACACATTGACACTCGAGGAACGATAACAGGATACTTTCTGAGGAAAACTCAAGACCCACAACCAACGGGCACACTCTAAAACCAACCACTTCAATATTTTGCATATGCTGATGACATAGCACTTCTAGGGAAAAAGTATTAAAGACATATCAAAATCCTTTATTGAATTAGAAGACTCATCTTTACAACCAGGGCTGGAAGTTAACAAGCAAAAAACGAAATACATGACCATGATAAGAGAGGAACAAAAGGATGAAACAATTAAAATTAGAAACCAAACTTTTGAAAAAGTAAATCAATTCAAATACCTAGGATCATTGTTAAATGAAAGAAACCAAATACTAACAGACATAAAAGAAAGAATATCAGCCGGAAACAGGGCATACTTAAGAAGTCAGAAAATATTCAAAACTAAAAACATTACAAGAGAAACACAGAAAACTATTTATAAAACTGTGATCAGACCAGTTGCAACATATGCAAGTGAAACTTGGACCCTAACAAAAACAGCAGAAAACCTATTAAACACATGGGAGAGGAAAGTTCTCAGGAAAATATATGGGCCAACAAAGGATGAATATGAATGGAGAATACGAACTAACCATTAATTATACAGTCTATATAAATTAAAAAAAGGCAGGCTACGTGTAACACAACTACTCTGACATTGGTGTGGGATCTTATTTCTTATGCTGTGGGCTATGTCAGTAGTATGGTTACTTATGTTATGTTGATATTTCAGGATGCCGACTAAGACTTCTTCATTCTTCCACTTATCATCCGGGCACGCAAATAAGAATACTGAATCCTGGTTAAACTTACAGTACTTTATTGAACACACTTTATACTGATAATATTAATAAATAATCCTTGCATGAATGTAATTTCACATATATATCTATAGTATTCCATCATTAAGAAAGACACGTCCTCACACTACTATAACTCAGCTCAACTGTCTAATCACACAGCTCTCACGCTACTGTTCTCTACTGCTCTGCGCTCAGCTCTCCCTATCTCAGTCAACTCATACTTTATTACCCGCAAAGCGTGGAAAACAACCGCTCTGACAAAAACATAATTTTACTCTCCAAAAACGTGGAGCTCACATTGTCCTCTCAAAATACATGGTCAACACAATTCACTGTTCACTCATGCTACCTCTCTGTTTTCAAAACTTACAGTACTTTATTGAACACACTTTATACTGATAATATTAATAAATAATCCTTGCATGAATGTAATTTCACATATATATCTATAGTATTCCATCATTAAGAAAGACACGTCCTCACACTACTATAACTCAGCTCAACTGTCTAATCACACAGCTCTCACGCTACTGTTCTCTACTGCTCTGCGCTCAGCTCTCCCTATCTCAGTCAACTCATACTTTATTACCCGCAAAGCGTGGAAAACAACCGCTCTGACAAAAACATAATTTTACTCTCCAAAAACGTGGAGCTCACATTGTCCTCTCAAAATACATGGTCAACACAATTCACTGTTCACTCATGCTACCTCTCTGTTTTCATGTGAAAACATAGTCCGTTACACTACGCTGGGCGGGACACCTAGTGAGAATGCCAAATGACAGAGGAACGAAGAGGGTGCATCACCAATACCCCAGAGGAAAAAGGCTCAAAGGCAGACCTATGCTTAGGTGGATAGATGATCTGGAAAAAGATCTACAGCAGCTGACAGTCCAAGCATGGAAAAGAAAGGCATTAGTTAGGTCTGAGTGGAAGGAAGTGGTGAGGCAGGCCAAAGCCCTACATGGGCTGTAGCGCCACAGGGATGGATGGAAATTTAATGTAAAAAAAACAAACTATAACTTAACGTTGTTACAATTCTTAAAAACATTTACCTCGTGACCTTCAATTAATTTTTTGTTTTTTTCTTGTTATTGTTATACTGTGGACTTATTTTAACCAAAAAATTCAATCATGGAAGTCGGTGGAAGGGGGGGTGACACCGTGAGTAAACTGCACCGGTGGACACCAACTCTAGCTACACCACTGATTATGGGTGATATAGCTACAAAAGTCAAAGCTTGGCTTATGTCCATATTTCACTTAGAGCTTATATTGTTGTCTTAGCTCCTGGATGTAGCTTCTTTAAGAAAAAAATGACATTGGGGCCCCCAGCCCCTAAAGAGTCAATATTATGAGTTTAGTATCCTTCAGTATTTGAATTTGGATAATCAAGTGTATGTGTGCTAAGTTTGGTCTAAATCCATTCACCCATGCAGGAGTCTTTGTTTGAAATTATATTTAAATTTAAGTTCATTTAAAAAATCACATTATGAGCCCTCAGCCTAAAACTGAATTGTTTAAATGTCCAACGCCCCCCCCCCCCCCCCCCCCCCCNTTTCCGCTCCTTGAGCACTTGTCTTATGGCTTACGTGACTTTAACTAAAATTTCAAATAAATGATATTATTAAGGCTGGTGATAGTTAGGGCAAGACGTGCCCTAAGCATATTATGCGATGGGTAGATCGCAAAACATACTAAGCATAATTCACTATGAAGGCTTCCTTCCTCTTGGCAAATGTTGCAAGAAGTGTCATTGACCTGTGGTCACCCTCTTTCCTGACGTAATTTCAGCTGGTAAATTAATGTGGTGTTGAACGTAGCAGCTTTATTATATCTCCCTAGAGCCTAGATGTCCAGTAAGAAGTGTCAATGACTTTTGGTTGCGCCTTTCCCTGGAATATCATTAAATCTCAGTTCTCCATGTTAGCTAGTTACACACTGTGGGGATAATTGGAAAGCATAAAAACTGAAGAAGAAAATTATTCTTAATTTGTTGCTGGTGACTACTGCGTGTTGTTGGAAAAATGGCGGAAACAGGAAGTGTCAATTGTATTGCACATGAGACCTGGGAAGCCGTAATTATCCATTGGGCTCAACTTGCCCCACCCAGTCACTTCGTATTATTAATATTTCTTTACACTTAATGATCAGTTTCTGCGTCACCGAAGTTTTCTATGTATGTATTAAGGTGAAATGATTCTTGCCGAGCCACAGTTTTTCCTATGTTCTGTACGGTTCGTGTACTTGTACTAATTTATATTTTGATGGGGCTGCCATCTTTTTTGCCTAGGCAGCAGACCCATAAAGTATAGATAAACAAACAATAATTATAAAAAATATTTCAGCTGTGTATTAATTTCACCCAAAGCGAAGATCACTCAATTAATAAATAAAGCAGATATAAACAAACAGGAGTTACTCATGCACCCTAGCGTGTCATGGCTCGTCAACTAAATTTCAGCTCAGTATTAGTTGTTTTTTTTATCTTCATAAGTATGTTACAACCAAATCAAGTAAATGTAATGTACTGTGCCCCATATTAAAGAAATGCAACCTCCCACTCCATTCCTAAGCTAATACAATGATCATGTTGTTCAGATTTAGACATAGATAAGTATTGACATTTTCATGCCCCCTTTGGCAAGTCTAATATGTTCTATAACAGTATTTATAAAAAGCCTTTCATGGCAGGTTGAAGAACTGGCCCTACTAAGCCGTATAAAGATGGATGCCTCAAAAGAACCAGTGGATACAAAGTCAGAATCTGCGAGCGCATCATCTGTAATTCCTTTTAGTCTGGTAAGAAAAATCTTCTCTGTTTAAGGTTATAATTTACTTAGAGGATTTTTTCAGATTTTATGGCTGTGTAGGTCTATATTTTTATTTAGTTTACTTTTTTTCCGGCTTTTAATTAGTTGATCTGCATTCCCATTATTTCTTTGTAGATGATACAAAAGATAAATTTAAAATATCAGTTCAATATTTACAATGTATAGGACTATCATCAGATCACTTTTAAATTTATTTAGATGAGCTAAAATTCAAACCTGTAAGAGATTATTTTGCCTGTCTACTAAGTATAATTGGTTGAATTGCTTTTTAATATTTATTCCTTTTTTATGGGTTTCTCTTTTCTAAGATTTTGCCGATTTGAATCAATTTTTAATCTTTTTTAGCTTTTACCATCTTAGGGTTTAGTATTTGTGATACAATAATAAGGACATTGCTCCCATGGCTGATATTTGACATCAATCAATGATGTAAACTACATCAAGAATTGGATGAATTTAAATAACATTTTAGGAGTGCTTCTTATTTGGCTCTGTATTTAAACTTAAAATAAAAATTTTTTTTGATATTTGAATGTTCATTTTTAAACCTTCAAAGTACAAAAAGTAATGGGTGCAAACTGTTGTCAACTACATTGTTCTGAATGTTTGGTATGGGGAGTTGTTAATCATACGAGTGTTTTTGTGAGATTTAGGTCGTGAGGTCAGATCGTGAAGTTGGTTCATGGTGTTTTGAGCTTTAGTGTATGCTGAGTGTTTTGTTGGGATATGAAAGGGCAGTATGTTTGTAGATCATTTGTTAGTGTCGAGAGAGTGTGTAGAGTGATCTTGAGAGAGAGAGAGTGAGCAAGACAGAGAGAGATAGTATTTTTTGTTAGATTTGCTGTGGGGCTTTTGCCTGAGGATAATATTTTTCGGCCAGATGTATTTATGTACCAAGTGGATGTTTTAGTTCAGTGAAAATAAACCCATGATGTACAGTGAACCTTTTAGTGCTCTTGATGAATCACACTAGTGCACGTTGTGACCAAGGAAGATTTGCCATCTGAATATTAGACATCGGAATAGTTGCCATCGAATATTTGCCATTATCATAAGATATTAGACCAGGTGGAATATTTAACATTTGGTGAAGACCAACAAAAGAAGACTGTAACACAAACAATACTGATTATCTCTCATATATATTTGGCTTCTGGTGTGACCGCTTCCTTTTCACAACCGGCCCCTCCCCCTACTCAACATGTGTTATATTAGGGGCCGTCCATTAATTATTTCAACAAAATTGGGGGGGGTAATGTTTGACAATTGTTGACAAGGGGAGGGGGGTATTAGTTGACTTCAAAAAACATGTTTTCTCTATTAAAATTTGTATCCTAAAAATTGATGTGTCATTACATTATTTTAAAAAATTTAATGAGTGTAAATTAAAATACTTGTATAATTTTTAGTTATAAAAAATTTTAACTTATTGATTAACAAGCTAAAGATGCAATAAAAAGTCCTACAATTGTGTGTTATTAAAATAGATCAGCACAAAGTAAAATTTATTTATATATTTATTTATATTATAATTCTATGGGGGGTGGGGGAAGGGTATAGAAGTGTTGAGATTGTAAGAAGTGTTGAGATTGAGTAGGCAATAAAAATTGCTTAAAATTGTTGAGGTAATTAATGGACACACCCTTATTACAACGGAGTGGGGGGAAAAAAATCTTTCAACCAGTGAGCGCCATGCGTGACGATTGACCTCAAGTAAAAAGGTGGAATTGTTTTGATGCAGACTATTATATATTAATCAATAAAGAGCCACAGGTACGGTGTTGGACTGTCTGTAGGCCTATTGTTTAAAGGCCGGAAAGTAGGGTGTAGGACTGTCCTTAAACCTATTGTTAAAGGCTGGCACATGTTACAGAAAACGAGAAGTTAATTCTTTTTTTGTAACATATGGACGCACTGGATATTTTTTAAAAATACCTGGACTCCGTGTTAAAAAAAATGCACCCGTTTCAGCCCTAGTTCAATAAAACTGCTCTTGAACAAGTTATTTTGAGTTTTTCTTATATCTCATCATTTTATTTGAATATTTTGATAATTTCTTTGGGAGAAACTGTTGCGATTTTATATTTATTTTATATTTATATTTGTTTGTTTTCAGGCCACCACCAGTTCCCATCCCATATCTTTTGAAAACACAGATGAAATGAACATGTTGTCTTTAAATCTGAATGTGGACAGGGTTCCAGAATTAGGAGGTAATTTATTATTTTTCTCATGTAAACTTTTATTCCACTCTGATCTGATTTATCAGCTTTCAAATCAGGCTTGTATGACAACCAAGTGCAGATTCACAGGCTAAGGGATAATAAGTCTTTTTTATCAAATTTTTAAAATAAATAATTCTTTCTAGTTTCTAGACCATTTAAAAGTTAATTTTAAAAAACTGAACTATCTTTTTTAATTTATTGAAACAGTTGCAAGGAGAAATAATGACTATGAAGAGGAAGAAGAAGAAGATGATGATGATGATGATGATTATGAGATGGATGAAGCAGAAGCTGATGATTATGACAGAAAATTGAGATCATTCATGGACTAATACATGACCTTCCTTTAATGACAAGAAAGGTTTTAATCTTGTCTTACTTTCCCATGACTGCAAATGTGTAAGACTGCATCACCACCACTGCAGCATTCAAGAACTTGATCTTATCCCCATTGTTAACCATGGGAAATTTTTTTAACGTAACAACACTTTGTTTATTAGAATAAATGGTTGGTTGTTGCTGTCTCAAATCCTGCAATGGATGTTCTCACTCATAGAACTAAACATATGGGATGAATATCAAAGCTTTTCCTAAGATGATACTAGAACCAGTAACTAGATTTCAAGAGGAACTATTCAGTACACATTTTAAAATAATTCTGGTAAGAGAAAGTTAAAATTAAGTTATCTTGATTTTTAAATAATTCTCTTATTATGTTCAGAATAAATAATGTAAATATTCAATTTTCTTAGTTTATTAATTACTAATATTTTGAATTTCACCATCACCAACACAATACTACTTAGTTCGGTCAATAAGTGATCTAGAGGTTTTAAGAGAAAGGGAAATTACTTTGGATATTTTTCATTATTTTATATAAGGAATACATCTGATTAGATCTAGTAATATTTTAAAGTTGAAGTTAAACAATTTTGCAAATGAAAATTTGAATTAATATTTTGAAAATCTTCAATTAATTTCACTGGTTAACAAAGATTTGACCACAACTGAAACATCTCACCTGAAAGTAGTCAACAGCTCAGAACACAACTGAAACATCTCATCTGAAAGTGGTCAACAGCTCAGAACACAACTGAAACATCTCATCTGAAAGTGGTAGAGCTTCTAGATCTTAAAATGAACAAGGTTTTCAGGATCTGAAAGAGAAATCAAAACAGATGCTTATTAGCACGAATCTTTATTGGACAAGTCCACAGACTGATGCATGATACTTTATATAGAACTAAGCATAAAACACTTGAACTTACCGCTTGAGATGCATGTACTTTGGTGTAGCAAAACTTTATTGCGAATCACCGATCTCAGAACTATGCTGACAGCATACAAATAACTTAGCTCCAGATGTCCCTAAAATGTATTTCTGTCATTCTCATCTGGATTGTTTGCCAACACACTTGATTGATGAAAGCAATGAGTACGGTGAGAGATTATATCAAGATGTCTTAACCTTGGAAACAACATATCAAGGTCATTGCAATTTATACATGAGTGGTTATTACTGCTGATTTCTTCAGCAGGCGACTACGGCAAGTCACAAGTGCAACAGCAAGTTCCCAAAGCACTTCTGAACTTGTAAAGAGATAAGATGGAGATGAACTTTTGAAATATATGCTTTGCTCTGAGTAACATACATATATTTATATTGGATTTAAAAACAATTGTCATGATTCTAATTTCTTGAATTTTATTGTATCGCTTAATTGCTTTCAGCATGTTTGTATTGAGACTTACTATGGACTTTTTTTTTGTAACTTAAGAAATCAAATGTAAAATTTCTTGTTGGATAAAGGAACTAGGTTAAATTTTTATTTCAAGTAATAAAAGAATAAATAACATTTGTTTAATGTTATGACCACTCTGAGAATATTCAAACAGTTGTTACATAACAAATTACATATGCAAATACAAGCTCTTTCATTTCTCTTAACATAACCACAAAAAAGTAATATTCACATGAAGCTGCATAACTTAAAATCTTGACATGCTGCACATAATCTGACTTCAGATTTGGAATCGGCACACTCACATTAGTATAAACCACATGATAGATGTCCAGTTTTTGATTTATCGAATGTTATAAATTTCAAGTCATCTGCTTGTAGAATGCCTTGACGTCCTCCTCCCAGCACTCACCTCCATCATAAATTCTTCTATTCTCTCTGGCATCTTCCCTCCCATTTTTAAACGGTTGATTGTCCTGCTACTCCTAAAGAAACCCTCACTTGATCCAAACACACTCAAGAATTACCGCCCCATCAGCAACCTCTCCTTTCTCTCAAAAATCATAGAAAAACTCATACTCTCTCAGCTCTCTGACTATCTTCACTCTCGCAATCTCTATCCTTCCTCTCAGTCCGCCTACCGACTTGGTCATAGCACAGAAACAGCACTGGTCCGAGTCATGAGCGACCTCCTGCGCGCGATGGACGATGGCAAACTCTCTATTCTCACTCTGTTAGATCTCTCTGCTGCATTTGATACCATTGACCACCAGATTCTTCTTGACCGCCTTCATCTTTCTTTCGATCCTCTACACTAAACCTCTATCATCTCTCATTAGCCACCACTCAGTTTCCAGTCAATCCTTTGCTGATGACACTCAAATCAGTGACTCTTGCTTTCCTGATCAACTTGATGCCACAATCCTTCGCATACAGGAGTGCGTGGACGATGTAAAGCGTTGGATGACTTGCAACAAACTGAAGCTAAATGATGATAAAACGGAAATCCTTCTCATCCACTCTCAAAACAAACATCTCCCTCCATTCGCTCCTTCTTCTATATCTATTGGCAACTCTGACATCACACTCTCTCCCTCTGCCAGAAACCTTGGAGTCACGCTTACAGACACCCTCTCCATGGACAAACATGTCACGAATATATGCAGATCAGCATATAACGAAATTAGAAAAATCAGCACCATTAGTCACCTCTGTCAAATATTCTAGTTGATGAATATTTGGCTCGTTGTTAGATTTATGATTCTCGCTTTTGTTTACATGTCTTGTAAATCTTGTCACACAACAGACTCGTTTGATTCATCAAAACAATACGCTTCAAACATGAATCCACGTATATGGCAATATTCCAATCAGCAAAACATATCATGACAAAATCCACTATCTCCCAAAAGAAAGACGTCTCGCTGTAGCGAGTCCTATCTCTCGTCTAACCTCTGTGAACGTAATCCCCCGTGACATAATAATTCTTCTCCTCCCACTCTCCCGTCTGTGAACCCTTTATACCCCAAATCTCATGCCTCGTTCACTCCACTATCATTCGCCCGTGACATGAAATTAGTTCACAATCCGCATTCGTCCTCAAATCAACACACACACACTACCTCATGATTTCATGACCTTGACATATCTCCCCCCTTTCCTTTCCAGATTCTACTTATAGTAGAATCGATATAACTATGGTCAAGTCATGAAATCATACCAGATTTATTAACAATCATAGAATAATATATGTATGTAAACTGAAAACATTACAAAGTCAATGGTTCCTATTACGATTAATCAAACTTTGTTACAAATTGGCTCTAATTCTTCCTTAACATGTGCCCCAAAAATTATTTACAATCATATCTGCAAAAAAAAATGTCAACAACGGAAATCATATGGACAGCCATTAATTGTCCAGCCTGTTGGTACAGTTTATGAGGGCGGGATATTCCGTTTATCTGTAGCTTTCCAAAAATTGTGTAAATTTTCCCACCAGCTCACAACGCCCCTGTAATGTATTACATGTTTCACAATGCTTGTCACATAGTCAATCCCCAAAATTAACATATACAACACATTAGAGAATGGACCCAAATATTCCCCAAATTGTTGACATAATTTGTCAACCAAAAAGTGCAACTTTTTCACCTCTTCAAAAAAATCCAATTTTTTAACAACCAAATATTTACTCCTTAACCCAACATGACATGCTTCATCAAAATACACAATATTTTTCTCCTCATCTTCATAACCCCAGCGGTCAATGCCAAACTCATTTGTCCCAATAGAATTGTCTGAGTCTACGCAGGACTCAACAATCCCACGGTTCTCAAGGACTGAGTACCCCGTGTCACCCACACCACAAATCTCCCCGTTTGGACTACGACCCTCGTAGCTCCACGTGAATTCATTAGCGATGAATTCCACCCTGTTAAATCTCCGTCCACGTCTAGGGACTGACCTTGAAAAATTCACGATCTCTACTTCGTGAAACCCGTAGGCTTTCCAGGTGCTAACACGTTTGACACATGGTACAAACTCAAAATAATTCCCTTGACCAATATGAAAATGATTGTTTAGAGAAGAATTACCATCTCCCTGTTGAGCCCCATTAAACTCTCCAGTCCCCACAGTATCATCTTGTACGTCCACCAAATTCATATTTTGTACAAAATCACAAGTACTATCCTCTTCAATCTCTCCCCATTGCAAAATTTCCAAAATGGCTTCTCGTATATCGAGTAAGCTAATATCATTACTGGGTGAAGCATCAATAACAATGGGCTCATGTGCAAAATCGATATCAAAATCACAAGTACAATCCTCTTCAATCTCTCCCCATTGCAAAATTTCCAAAATGGCTTCTCGTATATCGAGTAATTTCATATCATGTACATTTTCAAAATACTCATCTTGTACATTATCAATCTGCATATATTGTACATTATCAAAAACTATATCTTGTACCTTGTCATCTGTCTCTTGTAATGTAACAAAATTCATATCATAATCATAAGTCAACTGTTGTGTGTTAACCAACTGTATAGTCTGAGTCCAACATTTATAATCCACCCACTGAATCTCGTGAATCTGTGCCCTGTGCATGACCTCTTTAAAGTCCCTACTCTCGGTTATAATAGCATGACATTGTTTCGGATAACTGATCTC